TGGTAGCTAACAAAACTAAACAATCCGTCTATCTTTGTAATACACGACATGGCTTCCAGTTCATGTATTGATTGTTCGACCATCGATTTCGATGAAGTCCATCCTGAACCCAGGAGCAGGGAGAGTGGCAGTAGACAGGGGAAGATTTAAGTGTGTTGACGCGCAGCCGTCTTCCGCACTCTGAACCCTCAACCCGTTAGAACCGGTGACAAGACAGATTAGATATGACCAAACAGGATCAGGCGTAGGCTGCTTCCACCAGTACAGGCCAGAATACGGCCTACTTAGTCTTAAGTGACAGTAGCCTATTCGTTCTGGTACTAATGCACTATCTATCCTCACTCACCTTTAATAGGTGTCAAGATTTAAGGAGACTGAGATTGATACTGCTACTATTTTTAAACCACTTATTGCCACTTCGTCTGAGTAGCATTAGTATTATTATTGTCACTATTTTTACGTCAAAGGTGACGCTGATAAAATTCAACGCTGAGACTCATATCCCCTCGATCTCAACAAAGAATGTGAGTCTGGGTTTATACTGTTCCGGATAATTTATGTTTGAGGCTCTGAGCACATTGATGCTTTGCCCTGGTTGCCGCCCTCCTATCCCTAGTCACCAAGACCTGTGTCAGTTTCTCCTAGGTTTGGACTACGAGGACTAGGATAGTGCTGCTAGAGCGCGGGGACGATAGTTAACAAAGCTAAACAATCCGTCTATCTTTGTAGAACACGATCTGGCTTCCAGTTCATGTATTAATGTACACCAAATGGCATGCTTCCCTTTAAAGTGGAATATAGTTTTTCTCAAATGTGACGTTTCGCCTATCCTTAAAACGGATTGTGTGCTTTCTGTAGAGGAGAGGCACAGTGTTACAGAAGTGATGTGTATGCGCATGTTGGGGAATAGATTCATGCGTCGCCTAGGAACGTGCGTGGACATGTTAGGCAATGTACGCTAAGAGGGTCTCTACTGCACCCTTTTATCACACATCTTCATGGATTCGCATAAAGCCGAATAGGTCTTTGCGACGGACGACTGTCCATGGGTAGTGTGGATAAGCGACGCGGGCAACAGTCGCTTACGTAGTCCCCTTCATTAATCCCTACTCCCAGCATGTTGTCCTACGAAAACGGTGTTTATAGAGTTTTTGTGCGGGGAATTAGGATACTCAAAGGAATATACTTTAATAACTGCTATATGCATTTCATTTTATTGTCTTTAGAAATGTTGTAAATCTATGTCTGTAGATTTTCCTAATCTGTATTATCGTTTAACGTATTGTGGAAAAACCCGATTATCAAATTGCAGGTTTCTTGAAATATGCGAAAAATAGAAATGGTGGTTAGGAGGTCATCTGCTTCGACCTACCTGAGGTCCAACTTACCGTTCTGGAGTTAGATTAGTATAGCCCGCGACGCAAAGGGCCGCGCACATCTTGAACTTACATGCGGAACAACTTATTCCCAGCGGCCGCTAGAAACAACTTTGACTACAATTTTCATTTTACACTTACTTCTCAAAATTTCTTTCTCTGCCTATCCTATTTTCCCCTCTCCGAAAACCCTATAACCACCGTTTTCGTAGACCAAAATGCTGAGACTAGGGGTATATGAGGGGGACTACATAAGCTACTTTTGTCGCGACGCGGTTTGGAAGGTGAATGTTGGACCTCCTGGCACCCGTTCTCTGCTCTCTATACGATGGATTTGCAAGAAGCGCGTCAGGTCAGTGTGTGGTGTGGAGATGTGATTGCAGTGGAAACAGGTGGGACAAGCCCGAGTTTTTGTGGTAAAGGCGTTGCTGGCGGTGACGTTGGTGGGTGCGGCGGCCAAGATATAGTTGCTCAAGGGTTAGTACCAAAAGACCAAGAAAACAAATGGCCCCGTCAGCCGGTGATAGACAAAACCCAAACCGATATGTTTTGACACCTGAATTCAGTTATTTTATCCCTGAGCCAAACCCTTCTTGTGGATTCAAGTTTATTCGGGGAGGGGGGCGAGACTGAGTCAAAACGATATTCACAACTCGCCCAACTATGCACGCCCCTGTTTTGTTCTTCACTTGCGATCGTGAAAAATGACATTGAAGATGCTGACTTCTGCTGAATATCTTGAGTGGGAAAATTTTCACAACAACGCTCTCTCTAGTACTTCCTATTCCACCACCTGCTTTACTGAGAGAGCTTTAAGAGGACGAGTTAGGACAAGAAATCCAGACAGGCCGGCCATCTGCGATGTTTAAAATCATGACTTTTCGGCACGTCGGTTGGCTGTCCTTGGCATCGTAGCCTATTAATTGCCACTGTATGACACATGCTGTAAATGCATATGTGTACCTAACCTGCCAAGCTACGCAGGTCACCACGTGTTAGGATTTCGCTCCACCAAAAGAACCAGATGGCAAAGAGTCTGAACTGTGATCGAAATGTTGGCCATCCCGGTGCCATCGTTCTGGTGACCACATCCACACATTGGGCCGTTGCCATTAGGCTCCGTCGCCTATAAACTTCTTCAGTGTCAGCTAGACGGACACATTATCATCACATGCGTGCACGTTGCTACGGGCTTTGCACTAACACACTAACACACTCGCATGCTGACGTCCTTGTAGCCTAGATCTCAACTCAGCTTTCTAGCAATGACATGCGAGAAGCAGCTGTGGAAACGATGCCCCTGATCTCTTGACTAAAACTCAGATCGCTCTTGTATAGACAAGGCATTTACATAAGCAGCACAGACTCACCATAAACTGACCAGTCAATCTTAGCGCCTTCGACTTTATTTGTGTTCCTTCATAGGTTACACCTCTTAGAGGAAGATATGGTCGGCGGAGAGCAAGCCAACAACAAGGATTTCAAGGAGCGTCACTCAAAGCGGAAACGATACGCTGAGGAACGCAAACGCCTGCTTGCCGAAGCCAATAAAAACCTGGAGGATGATGGAATTATGGTGGGTATCTATGAAAGCATTCAGGACGAGCTGAGGCACAAGAATAGGCTTCTTAATAAAGAGAAGCAAAAGGTAATTATGATTTTCATGGAATCCCTTTCCTTTTACCTACCTTTCTACAATGAATATACGGGCTGGAAGGTACTACCAGCTTGTTACCAATAGGAAGTTCAAATGCGTTCGCCTATCTTTCCCTCAATAAACTGATACTGATAATAAATAGTGGAAGTAGAAGAGTTACATTTTCTTTCCTGCTTAATGGCATCGGAGCTTGCTTTTTGGCTCCGTCAACCAACACTCGCCTTTCGACCACCATTTTTATTGCGCTTATCGTCTCCTTCCAACACCCTGTGACGTCAATGCTACGAAGTTGTTCAGATGAACGCACATTGCAGCCTGGCCGATTGCGCGTCCAGAAAACCACAGCCAGTCTTACTTCGTATCATACAGCACACACTTGAGCAAAAGAGCTCTGAACCTGCACTCACAAAGTTCGCAATATCATAGCGTTTTTCTTTCATACATTACTTGACAAAGCCAGCACACTCCCTAGACTCGGCCGCAGGCACTACCATGCAAAACACGATCTCAAGCATGTGTACAGAAAAAGCCTTTATTATTATGCCTGTCGCCTCATCCTACTAAATGAGACTCGGCCTGACTCGTCTGATAGCTGAAGTGCACCCAATGCTTTGAGCCGCCATATGTGTATTGGTGTTGAATTCATGTTGTCCTCTTTAAGAACCATGCAGTTGCATGGCCAAAATTTGTTCCCCATAGACCTGGTGTTTTAAGCATCCCGCTTCTGACATGCTCAGTTAAGCTATAAAAGAGTCTTCATCCACTTCATGAAAGTTATCCTGAAGCCCCTGTGCTCTGCGTAAGCCAACGGTGATGGAAAATGCCAGGGTTCGTATACTACCAGCTGTTATGGCTCTCAGGGCCTCTGACGAGACCCAAGGCACAGCGGGACAAATGAGGCCCGTGAACGGTCAGGTGAACGTTTATCAGCGACTGTCAATAGCCCCTGACCCTAAACCGGCTAGACAACGAGCTCGTGGCTCACTGGTTAGGGCGTTTGGCTCAAATCAAAAAGGTCGCGAGTTCGAGGCTCGAGCGGGGCACCACTTGGGTCTGGATATGACTGGCTGACGACGGTTAGTAAGCCAAAAATGGCCATTCCGGTCTTCCTTTTCTTTGCCGGCAATACTATCTGCCTATAAGACGAACTGCTACGGCTG